GCTCTCCCGCCGGAGACAGCCTCGCCGGCGGCGAGCACGTGCAATACTCTGAAAAGCCAACGCAGAAACCGCTCTGTGTTGCAATAGCTGAGGCCGTGAGCTACGCTGCAGTCTTTAGGGGTACCCTACACAATCTGTACTGCACCGGGGGGTGGCACCCCAGAAGGCACAGCTCCTTTCAGGCTGCGGTGGTGGCTCGTGCTCAGCGGCTTGCTTTCGTTCAGAAGACGCTTCATTAAGAAGAAAGAACTGGCAAAGTTGTCGTATATATCTTCATATTTGTACCTGGCGCTGTGATGGTAGGACTGCCGTTTGCTTTTACTTCACATGAAGGGGTTTCAGTGCCGCTTGCCCCCGTGCTTATTTCAGAAGCCTGTAGAAATTTGCCCCACATGGGAGTCATTTTGAACCTATTAAATACTGGTTTTTCTATGTCTCTCCCACTTTGATGTAGCCTCCTAGGAGAAAGAGCTATCCTGGATATACGACTTGGTCATGTTTTAACAATTTGATGATCTCTTCAGAATCCTTCAATAAAATGTAAATTTTTTAAAAAAAGAACTTCTGCACTTAGCTCAGTTAACAAGAGGCCCGGACCCCCACGAATTATAATGTAGCAAATTTTTGAACATATACTTTAAATTCACAATTTATTTCTTATTTTTAAAGTTATTTTTTATCGTTTGATTAATTGCTTAAAACTGTACACAAAGATAAAGGGAACTTTGAAATTCATACCTTGGAGTATTAACATGTACTCAGGACTAGATGTAAATGTCAGAGAGAAAAAAAGATCTAATGAACTCTTTATTGGGGAAATACTGTATTGCAGCTGCCTAGAATTTTAAACGGTTTGTTAGCTAGCTCCAAAGCAAAATAACTACAGAAGTTTTCTTACAGCATGGACTCTCATTCAGCATTTCTAACGTCTTCTTGCAGGGTGGGTGAAAACCATTTGTTTTGCTAGAAGTTGTAGCTACTTCATTTTGTTGAAGTTTAATGGATCTTTTAATGTTATTAAAATGTCCAAAAAAAAAAAAAAAAAAAGAAAAAAGTGCAACCGCAGAAGTATTTTTCTGTCTAGAAAATTACACTACCATAAGTTTTCCTTTTCCCTGATGTCTTCTCTGCCATAATAATGGCTTCAGGATTTAAATCCTTTGCTGCTATTGTGACTTCAAAGCCTTAAAACTGCAATTGAATGAAGTGGTTCATCTGTCATTATTCAAATATGAAGCAATTATGATGAAATAAAGATAGAATTCCATTGAGAAATACCTCAATCAATTCTCACTTATATTTAACTAGAAACATAAAATGATGCTTAGAAGAGTAAGTTGAGGTAACAAAAACTTGGAATATGAAAAGCGTGAATTGCTGATCTATAACATTCATTTCTGAATAAGCCTTCTAAAGATATTTCACAAATATTGACAAAAGTTTAAGCTTACAGTGCAAAACTGTCTCTCAACTGGTTGTAGTGACTGGCCTTTCAGAAACATTTTCATCAGTTTAGGTGCCCAGGGGCTCAGATGGGAAACTACTGAGATTTTTAAGGGTCTCTGAATACGTCGACTCCCTCTGAAACACGTTAGATCGTGACGTGTTAATTGCATCTGGAACAAGTGGGTTTTAGAAGTGAGTATATGAAATAACACACCTACCTCGGCCATGTCTTCATTCTATTGCTGCCACTGCTTTTACGTTTCCACAGCCTGTAAGGCCCCTCTGCGGATTTAGCCCTAGATGCTTATTTTCACCTTTCTGAAGACAACCAAGGTCCACCCCTACCCCTGGGGCTAGAATTTAACAGGGAATTCCCACCTATACCCAGTTGTATTTGGGAATATGACAATAACATAATGTAACATAGGTTAAAAAGTTAATTATTTTGTTTTATAACTTCCATCCTTTCTTTCTCCTTTCATCTTTCTTGCTTATTCTACCCATGTGTAATACTCTGCTGATAAAAGCAGGGTGGATTCTGTGGTAGTCAGACCAAGGACTCCAAATGTTTTGCATCTTCAGCTTTTCAACTGGGTCATGTCCTTCCCATTCTCAATCATGCAACAAACTCAGATGAGAAAATAACTATATGTTATACCTTTTTCTTCCCTACTCATAGTGTTCTGTTCTGTTCTTCTGGAAAACAAACACATCCTTTTCTGTTTATGGAAGAGGACTTTGCCTTCTCTTTGGTCTTCCCGTTGCAAAACAGGATAAAAAAAAAATGCACAGATGGATCCTGTAGTATTTTTCCCTCATGTTTTCAACAGTTGCAGTAAGTTTAATAGATACGTACAGTATTAAATTGTGTTGTGCTGAGAAAGATAACATACAACCAGAGATATACATAGTCATGTTTATCTTCCTTCATTTTGTAGGTGTTTCATCAATCTACCTGGGTATCAATTTTCTGTCATCTACAGACATTCAGGTCTTGCAGTTTAATTTGAAAAATGTAATTTCTTCAGACAATCCAAGAATAAAATGTTATCACAATTAGAAAGCATTAGTACTTAATACTGAATTTTGAATCAGAGAGGTAACTAGCACGAAGCATTCGGGGTATATACAATTAATTATTTCACACATAATTATTCTTGATATTACTCTAACTGTGATAACTTAGAGTATTTGAAAAAGCAGACTGTATTATCCTTTTTTTTGGCACAGAAGTGCTTTCACTTGATATTCTCTCACTAAATAATATGTAAAATACTGACACCTAATGTTAACTTTCAGTATTATTCGTTTTGCAAAACTTTTACTCCAAGCAGGGGAAGACCATGTGAAACTAGTGCTTATGCTGCAATTTTGTTTCAGTAAAATGCAATATAGCCTCCTCTCACTTCTTAGAAATAATTTTCTTAATTATATATGACTATAAAAGCAAGAAGCTTTCATGTTTATCTTCACAGCTCACATGCAAAAGACAGAAATTCAGAAAAGTCGACACAATGAATTTAATCAAATCCATTAGATGGAACACAAATGCTTATTTATAAAGTCAATATTTCTACCTGTAGCCTGAAGTGTTACTAAAAGACAAAATACTATTAAACATTTGTTAATAACCTGTTATCTTCCGAAACCAGGACTGTATAGATTCAGTACGTACTTTACCTACCCTACTTGGTTCGCTTTCCTCAATCAGAGGCACAAAGAATTGTTTTCACAGCTTGTGAATTTAATGCAGATGCCGAACTGTGGCCTCAAAATTCACCATTTATCTCCCTGTGACTTCCAAGACAGCCAGTCCAAAACTGATGTATAAGTGCTATTTAGAAAGAGATTTTGAGGTTCTTACTCTTCTTGGGTTAGTCGCACAACCAAGGTTCAGCTGATATCAAAATAAGGTATTTTATAGTATGACCTAGTGTCATATCTGGATTTATATTAAGCTTGCCCAGCTTTATAGGGAAGACATAAGTGACTGTTAGCCAGAGCTGTACAGCAGCACAAGTGCTTCAAAGGCCCTGGCAGTGAATTAAAACCTTTTTCAACACTGTGGACTGTCACAGGTTTATACTCAGCGCTTTTTTCATCAACCGTCACTTTATGGAAAATGGTCCTTTTCTAAGATCGTGTCACTTGACAGATGAAAATAGCTGTGCTGCAGATGCAAGCATGAAAATAAAACCGCAGCCACTGAAACACAGATACCTGGTCTGCAATAGTATGATACAGTCTCAGCTGAATTAAAGAGCGATGATGTCAATGCAATTAAAACCTCTTGGGTGAGCCAGAGCTTTCCAACTGATTAAGACTCCTGTGCTGTTCTTTATAACAATATTCTAGTTTAAGAAGCTGTTCTTACTCTTTGCAGGTGCTGAAAATACCAACAAATGCTTTATTTGCAGTTCTTTCAGCTTTCTCCTACACATTACAACCAACGAAATAAGTATTACTGCAGCAAGGATTTTAAAACTACCCATCTTTGGGGAACTTCAGAGCACAGTAGACACTGCAAAGGCCCTTTTGAGCAGGAGGTGCTCAAAGAATGGGAAAATTTCAACCATCAAATATGCCCCTGAGCCAAAATGGAGTAGTCCTCACTGCTTCCCCCAAATCCTTTCTCATCCTTGAAGTAGAATAAAAAGAAGTACTATCAGAAGTAAGTTTCTAAGTATTTCATACAAAAATCAGACACATTGGGTATCATCAGAGAAAAAGTTTTAGTTGATTCTTGAAAAAAGTATGCACTGAATAGCTACAGACTTAGGAGCTTAGTTGCCAATCATGGCAAGGTGTTATTTATGTCTTAAAACTCTGGGTTCTTTTAAGTGTTGGTTAAATATAAGCAGTTTTTCTTCACTGCTCTTATTTACCCAGTGCAAATCTCTCTAAAAATTTGCGCCACACTGTAAGTTAACCATGAGATATTTTGCTGCTGCTTAAACAGTTCAGAGTTCATTTTGTCTAATCAAAAATAAGCCTTGTTAAAACTGCAGCAAGTGCTCATACAGCCCTTCACACCGGCTTACACGAATTTAAAATTGTTCTCAGCTTTCTCAAGCATATAATCTCCAAGATGACTACCTAGAAAGATAAAGAGTAAATGTTTTGTTTTAGTCAACTCTGTCACACCAAAGAAGGTACCTGCAATGTAAATTTATTCTTCAACTAAATCATTAAACTAGAATCTCAAAATGTTGGGCCCTTTGAAAAATTCAGTAGGCAGCAGTTAACAGTTTTGAAACAGCTAATTGTTCAACCTTTACTTTTCGAGTATACCATGTACTTTAAATAGAATTGATAAATTAAAAATGTAAATTGGACTGTATCTTTTAACTGTTGGTGATTTGTCTATTTTCCATGTTTATTATGCATCATTTTTATAATAAAGAAGGGATTTTTTTTTCATTCCTGTTCTAGTTGATAGCAATTCTTCCATGCTTCTCAAAGCTAATGTAATAAAACTACATAAAATGTTTAAGAAAAGCCCCATTAAAATATACAAAGCATACTAATTCATGAAGTCAAAGTCAAAGCAGAGTGGAAATATGAGCTTTAATAAAACTATATCTGTTGTAAATAACTATTCAAGCACAGTTATTTTTTTGCAAATTGCATGGGATATAGCTCAGTCTACTAGAAGCAAAGAATCGCTCAGCGGGATAAATGCATCTTAGTCAGAAATAGATTAAAAGATACAGCTGAGCCATCAATAAGAACCAGATAGCACAGTATTGTTTGCTGTTTGTTTTGAAGATGTAATTGCAGATCCCAGGATTTCAATAAATCTGTGCACATCATGGAAAGAATTGTAGAGAGGAACTGGGGCAACGCGAAGAGCGTTTGGTTCTCGCATGTCACACTGCAAAACAGAAAGGGAATGCTTAGTAAATTCAAGTCACTTCATATTTACCTGTCAGACTATATTTTTAAGTGTCATCCTTGTCTTCAAGGAAGAATGACTGGACTGACAAAGAGACATATTTAAAAACTTTGGCATCTCGAAAAAACTCCTGTGAGGAGCATTATCGTGAAGAATGTAGCAAGAAGAGTAGTGGGTTGCCTAAAAAGAGAATGCAAGGCTCAGGATGGGCAGGACTCTAGCAATGCCATTGAGGGGCTCCAAATGAGCTATATATCCCCATAATTTACCTTAGTGCCTATAGCAGAGCATAGTTGAAGAGACACACGGGTGACAAAAAAGCCACCACGAAACAGAAACATGCCAGTATGATAGAGTGTCTTGTAATGCAGGTACAAGTAAAGTTGCAGGGCTTGCAGTATTTTCCTTCCTCCACTCTGTGAATTTGAACATTTTACTGAATAATCTCTCATATTTGAAGCACATTACTGCATCGCAAAGACGAGCCAACAGTGGAAGGCCCCGTGCCCTCCTAAAAGCAGCGTTTCCTGGAATTCCCTGGCAGCACCAAACCAGCAGCATATTTAGCCTAGAAGAGTTGCCCTTTGGGGACACAAGTCATCAGCAGAAATAAAAATCATATATCATTTATATGGCATTACGCTATCAGCCTCACCTCCCAGCACTTCTAAATCACCGAATGCGTATAGCCTTATATTTAGCTTTTACTCTTTTTGAGCCGTGCTCACCAGTAACCGTGTTCAGTGACCTCTTTTTCTGAGTGCTAAAACGCATCTCTAAGGAAATGACAGCTTTTTAATTCCTCCACCTCTCACAAGGAGCAAGGCTTTGGCCACCTGCAGATCGGGAAAGGACCTGGTGGAGGTTCAGAGCTCCTTCTTGCCGTCGGGCTGTCGGCGTGCGGGCTGTGGTGTTGAGGATGGTGAGCACCGCCCGAGCGCTGCTGACTGCCAGCACCCCGGGGTGCCTCCGACCTCCTTTTCGTGGTCTTGGCCGCATGCCTGGACCCACGGCAGGGGACCTGGACAAGCACACTGAAGAGGAGAAGCCTGTGCAGGCAGTGCATTGCACTGGGCAGCTCTGACATACTCCCGTTTGTGCTTCTCCTGTGATTTGGGGTTTTTCTTTTTTTTTTTTTTCCCTATCTATCCTGTTCATACCATCAGCTTCAGATCCATAATGCCTCCCACCATAGTGCAGCCATAAAGCAGCTCTAACCTCAGTAGTGACTCCGGGGTGTTACTCACAGAACTACTGGAAATAAATCAGTAGAGAAAGCACAATATACAGAATAACAAATAATTTATAAAATAACTACTTATTTGATTATTTACACAAGACTGAAGATACTATGTAAGCAATTTTCATCGTTCCCAGTCTTTTTTGGCCTTATATGAGACTGTATTTCAAAAAAACCAAAATTATTACTTTGTCATGGTATAAGTTCACAAAACGGTGCATAAGAAGATAAAGTTTGATTTACTCACAGCTACTCCTCTCTTCTCCAGCTCTTTAAACACAGATTTGATTGGAAGGGAAAAAGAGAGTGTGAGTTGGCATCCTCTTTCCTCAATCTGAGATGGGGTAATTATTTTTACAAAGGGCTTCTCTGGTTTTGTTTTATCCTCACTGTAGTAATGTTTTATCAGGTATTCCAAGTAACCGGTGAGTAGAACAGATTTCCTTCTCAATGCTTTCATTGTAGTTTGACCAAAGACCTATAATGATTTTAAATCATTAGAATGAAAATGAGTTGCTATAGAAAATAAAAAGGAAGTAAAGAAGACTAAAAGTGTAACGGATTTCTCTAGACTTTATCACTGGAATCAAGTGGCAATATCAGATAGACATTATACATAAACATGGCAGGATTGGGCTTTTGAAAACACAGGATAGTGTTACTACTTCAGATAACGAAAGACATTTCTCTCTACTGCTAAAAAGTTTTACATATAACCATACCTGCATAAATCAACCGGTACACAAAAACAGTTTGTTAAGAAAGCATTTATTTGCATATCTGAAGAGGAGCCATAAATTCTCTATCCATTCAACAGGTTTGCATGAAACTCAAAAACACATAAAAGGTTTTCCTTGTACGTACCTCAAGTAACAAAATCCAAGGGTCAAGACCGAAACACCATGACTGATCTACAAATTCTTGTCTTTGAAAACTCAAATTTTATACTAACATATTGACTTTACTGCTTTCAGTCCTGTACAATTTCTGTCTCTGCTAGTCTGCATGAAGAAAAAAATATTCACTTGATTCTGGTTTAATAGATCTATGCTCTTACACAGCTACAAGGACCAGTGAGCTGCAGAAACTCAAAACATCCTGAGACATGTAAAAGTGGTTGCTTAAAAATGGCAGCACTACTGTGCCACACAAAGAAGAACAAACTTCGTGGCAGAAGAGTTTGGGAGCAGGTGAAGGCGAGGCAGCTTCTGCTTGTGCTCTGGAACTGCTCCCCAGTTACAGGGAATAATGGAAAATGTCTCCCCGGAATCAATTTGCCCCTGCCTTCCTCAAACCCTTCCTTCTCTTGTTCTCGTGCAAGTAGCTTCAGAGAAAAAGGAGAAGATATGGGCGTACGAGTACCGATAGTCACCTCCAGTCACATTCTGGCACAGAAACGCAGTATCGCTGCTCGTGGACAATTAAGCCTCCACTGACTGCAGCTGCAAAATCAGAGGCAAGGCAGAGGTCCTGTACGGAAATCCATGATCTTCACTCTCAAGAAATCACTGTTCCACAGTGAAGGAGTAACACTTTCAAGTTAACACTCTTTAAACACTTATGATTGCTTATATCATAACCTGGAAGAGTGTATAAAGAGGCAACTGAGAAATCCTACTCAATATACAACAAAGTCTGGCTTCCAGCAGCTCCTGGAACTCACTCTTTCGTAGCGCACCCCCAGTGTTACTCCATGAAGCTATCCCAACCGCCAGACGCTGCACAAAACCAAAAGCCTTTACATGTGTTCTCCGAAACAAAACATGGCTGCTGCAAGAGAGGCTTTGCACGGAGCCAGCGCAGTCACCGAAACGAATGTGACGGGGACCAGAGCCGTCAGCAGTCACTGCTTGCACAGCTCAACAAAAGTCTCGAGGTGCTTCCCTCACCACACAGGCAGCAGCGTACACGCGCCTATTCAGCGCGCTACCGGAGGGAAAAGGGAGACCTGCCTCCTACTCCTCCGGGCTTTGCCGCAGCGTGAAGGATGGATCTCCTCAGGCTGCATGCAAAAATCTGTTTGCTCAGGCTTTGTGCAAGGAATATTTGGCCTCCTGGGCGAAATTTTTGAAAAAGATCTTGCACATGTGGCTGCAGAGCGTTCCCCTTTTTTCCATAAAAGGGAGCAGCTACCGCCGTAACAGTCACTTTAAGCATTATTGAGGAATAACACGCATTAACACTCGCCGTTTTCGTCGTTTCCATTGGAAACACTGCCTTCTGCTTAATGTGTCCCAGTGAAGGTGGCACACAGTTTCAGTAGCCATCTCTTGCCAGACATGAAAACTATTTTGTTTCCCACTGTATTAGAGCAATTAGCACTGGGAAATCCTGGCTGTGCCAAAAGGTAATGCAGGCATGGAAAGGGGAGGCGATGGAAACTGCTCAGCCCTCATTGTTCGAGCTCCCTGCAGTGGGCTAAATGACATCAACCCACACAAACTGGAGCCCTGACAATCTGGGTCATAGCAGAATAGCTTTCAGCTTATCTCGAAGGTCACATAAAGTTTAAAAAAATATATTGGATGTTTAAGGACTAACAAAATAAATTGTCAGGCAGAACAAGAAGCATTGCTGTGCCCTTTGCAGTCCTTCAGCACTGTGTGTAAGCTGGGGAGAGCACAACTGGCAATTTTCTGACTTTGTTTGCTTAAGACAGTGTTTTTTCAGGAAAAAAAAGAAGAGGGACATAGAGTGTATGGACATGGATCTTTGTTCCAGCATCAGCTTTGCCGTTACGCTAGCACTAATGGAATGCTAGCAGAAATAAAACTCTCCCATTTACGCTGATGGCAAAACCTTGCAAACCAAGGCTGGCTTGAAAAACAGCTTAGGAAAAATTTTAATACAGTAGCGTATAGTAGGGAAATCTATGTAAAACCATCCCTTTCAGCCTTCCTGGAGTCCTGCATTTCAGGGGTGAACCGTCCGTAAGAGAAACGCAGCCCGACACAGGGTGTTGGGAGGACAGCTGCATGCCTTCAGGCAGGGCTGAACTGTGCTCTCCAAGGTGGGCCAGCGGGCTGACCACGCACGTGGGCCACCCCTTCCTCGCCACGAAGGGCTTCGCCCTGTATGGCAGGACTGCCCTTCCCACAGCCACGACCTCACTGGCTCGTCAGAGATGGGGCTCCGCTCCTTTGGCCACCAAAAAACTAACGGAGAGATGAAACAAAACCCTTGCTGGAGCTGTACCAGGCTCTTTAATTCTCCTTTTAGGAAGCATGCACAGACAGCTTCTGTCTTTTCTGTTCATAATAAAAGGGACTACGGGGGAGGATATGTTCCTTGAGACACTGGTTCAGTTTAGACTCAGTTTGCACTGAGCCGCTAAAAGCTGGGACACACACCGTGCTGGCGGTCAGGCTCGGAGGTGCAAACCTCGAGTATACTGGGTCCAAGAGCAAAGTTTGTGACAACAGTGAAGTGATGAGCATATGCATTAAAGGCCTTAGTCTCTCAGGGCTGTTGGCTTATTTTGCTTGTTTCTCATTGCCCTCTTTTGCTTTTTAGCTATTTTGCAATTTTTTTTTTAAGGGAGACAGCAATAATACATGTAACATTTAATATTTTTATACTCTTAAATTCAGGCTCAAAGTAAAGCAATTACTTACCTCTAAACTAGCTTGCAGAGCACAGACCAGTAAAATTGGAGGATTTGATAACCGAAATCCATTAATTCCTTCACTTAGCTGTAATTCTGGAAAATGAATAACTTATATTAGTGGTTTTGATTTCTTCCTTTTAATGGATTGGACCTTATCTTGAAGTCTGTCCATATGCAATAAAATATTTTACTAATGTGGCCTGTAGGAATCGGTCATTAAAAGGAAATAGTAATCTATTCACAGATAATACTTTTAACTTTGAGCGAAGCCCAATTTTATCCAGTGGAAGACTTCATTAGCGGCTTCGTGGGAACTAGAGAACTGCAAGTGATTTGTTTAAATGGTGTGTGTTAAAACCACCTTTAGACTTGACTCTCTTTTAACACAGGCACAAAACAGAGAAATTCCAAGTCAGCAGAGGTACGCTCGTGAGGAGCCGTGGTGCCGCCGTGAGCAGGGAATCGTGTTCCTTAAATTTATTGAGCTGACGAGACACGCGGGAGACTGCATATGCAGCTAAGTGTAGCTTCAGGCCACGTGGAGAAGTTGCATAGACTTTAGGCTGTGAAATTTCACAAAACCTATTTAATAAATCTATAAAGCCTCACTGTAAGTTCTGTGTCACCGTTTATATTTCATGCTCCAGCACCAGAGCAAGAGGATTCTGTGGAGGGAATGCTTTTCATGCACTGCAGACTGTCTAATTTTATAATGATCATTGCCCAACTTCTCCCCTATAAACTGTCCATGGAAATGAATAAACAATATTTTTCTTCTTCTAACAGTATTTCAAGGCAATTTGTGTCTCCTGCTGGCTTTCCACACCGCCACTCTCTTACATTTGGTGAGAAAACAAAGAGCAGACTGAGGCTATTAGAGAGGTGTTCTCCAGCCAAAGTCACATCAACAGGCACTGCCACAGAAAATTAAAAATATATTAAAAACAAAACAACCAATTGAACCAAAAAGCTCCTTTCTCCTCCTTGATCCCTCAGGATATTCTCTCTGCCATACGTTAAAACGGAGTTGAACTGTCTAGCTGTCAGATTTGGAAAGGAGTCCTCATTTCATATTGGGACAATAAATATTTAGCTATTTCAGAGCAGGTTTGATTTTTGTCTTATAACACATCCTTTACTACTGCAAGGGATTTGGAGATGCTGAAACATTAGTGGTATTTCATGACTTATGTCAGGTTGCCTTACCTTTATATAATTTCTCATTAATTCAAGGGGAACTAATCCTAAAGTAAGATATTACTCAAGTGAATGATGGCAGATCCTCGCTCCTCAGAGACTTACGTGTTTAATTCACTGAGATACTTTGAAACTTTCATCCATATTCTACACCTGCAGTTTGAAGGTATTTCAGCAAAATATCTAGACGCAGATAGTCAGACCCATATGCGCAGAGACCAAATTTATTCCCACACTTATTTCGTTAACTCCATTTCATTACATATTTGGGACGAGTTCAGCTTGATACCTTTAACATAAATGAGGAAATGCAAAGTTCTATCCTTTCGCCTCAAACTACTACGAAATTGAAGCTGATTATATATAAATACACCAAATAAGGTAAAACTGGAATTGTAAAAATACATACTGTTTTCCATGAGGAATCGTGTTTTGAAGTCATGACCCCACCAGCCGATTAGCCTAAGATTTTGTAAAGAATGTAAGTTAATAGCAATCTTGGTATAATATCTTTTAATTTAGATTTGAGAGTTAAGAAATATATAAGTAAGATTGAGAAGTATACACATTTCTAATAATACATTGTATTTCTCAGAATGACATAAAAATGCAATAAATTATATAAATAGCTACCGCTAAAATCTTGATATTACTGTTTGGGAATTTCTCTTTAACTATATATGATAAAATGTGACACATATTTCAATTAACTATTGATTTCTAACAGTATCCATTTTGTCTGAATTCATTTCACTGAACGAAAAATAGAACAGAAATATTTCCACTGTTTTGTTCCAAGGTATTAAATGCAACCTTCCCAACTTAGTTCAATGAATATTGAAAGCTAAAAGGCGTTACAAAATCTGAGTTTCTCCAAGGAAAGGAGTTGGTGAGGGACAACAAACAGAGAACAGGGCTTCAGAAGAAGGACTGCGTGGGCATTGCCTTTTCCTTTCTGTGAGACCGCAATGGGAATTCTGAGTAAACTTTTCTTCTTCTGAACAGAACTTATTATTAATAAAATCTTTCTTTAAAATATAAACCACACCAGTTTAATAAAAAAATTAGGGTTTTTTTAGATCATCTTCAGAAAAAGAAATTAAAGTTTAATTACTTTAAAATAATTTATCCAAGCTTTTAAATTAGGATGATATTGTATTATTAACATTTTCATATTTGCTGAAAAATATGCTCAAGGACATAGCTACAAACAATTTTCCAAAGCAACTAGACGCACTGGATCACCTAGTGCCCAAGGCACCGCAGATAAAGTCAATATTACAAAATCAAGGAGTCTTTCCCCACCTCCCTTGGGTTCTGTACTTCTTAACTCCGTACACGGTAGTTTCAGCGACTAACAACATCAGTACTACTTCAGGTTTCCCATGTACCAGTGCTATTACAATCTTAGGAAGTCACCACCTTCGAAAGTCAAGGAAGAGTCTGTGATCTCCAGGACTGGACATATTGGACACCATTTCTTCCAAGGCTTTGCTCAATTTTTTCTATGCCAGGTAGCAGAGTTTTTAGGAGTGAAGCCTGGTAAGTATTCAAAATTCATAATAGCAAAAAAGTCTCTATGTAAAACTCACAGTACATCAGCCTTCCTGGAAGGAAACAAGGAAAAAGAAAGGCATTGCCCCTCTCTAAAGCAGGAGCACTTCTCTGCAGTATGCTTAAAAGAGCTTAGCTCTGCAGAACTAAGACCATGTTTGAGTTAAAGACTTGTTATATGAATACCATTACACCATGGTGTAAAATAAAGTACTTCGTATTTCTGTATAACAACGTAGGTTTTACGTTTACCTCTATGAAAGGCTCTGAGCTGCATCCAAACACAGTGTATACAGAAAAAGTATCCTTTTTTCTTTATTGCTGCATGATGTTTTTATTATTCTAAGACCCATGAAAATCAATAGTGCAATATACATTCATTTCAAATGAGAAATTACATTGCCAAAATTAATATACCCCAAATAAATAATGCATCTTCTGCCGAAATGACTCAGTTACTGATGCTTTGAATCATAAAAAATATTCCACCTTTTTAATATGAACTGTATAATACATATAGAACGTTTTACTATAAACCCTGAGTATTGTATATTGCTACAACATACTACCAATGTCAATGGCACACACATTCCACATATTGCAACAGTTTTAAACGGGAAAAAATCCATGGGAAATATAACATTTGGACTATTACTCTGTAGCAAGGAGAAAACAATACTACGTTCTGTTTGCACCACATCCTAAAGTCAAAAAAACCATCAACCAGAATATTACTCAGAGCCTGAGAAAAAGCACTCTGGTTACATTTTGAATGTTCAAAACTTGCTAACTTGCTGGCTTAAAACCAGACCTCTGCTGCAGCGCCACGTTTGCAACCTGGAAACTGAAATTTCAGAACTTTTTCTGGTTACTTTTTGAATGTTCAAAACTTGCTAACTCTGAAGCTGGCTTAAAACCAGACCTCTGCTGCAGCGCCACGTTTGCAACCTGGAAACTGAAATTTCAGAACTTTTCCAAAATGACAGAATGAAAGATTTTTTTTTTAAAGACAGTTTTAGCTATCTTGCCCTTTCCTACCATAACTTTGACAATTTGCTTTTGCTTTTTTTTTTTTTTTTTTTTTTTTTTTTTTTTTTTTTTTTTTGGCTTTTTTTTTTTTTTGGGCTGTTCTAGAACTTCAGAGGTGCCGCTACAGGATGTGCACTTTGAGGCAGCTCTGGTCCTACACTCTCATTGATCTAATGGTCCATATGGATGTCATATTATTTGACATTCAAGTTGACAGGCTTCAAAGTGTGGAAATTAACAAAATCTTTACAAATTAGCAATTTGCTGTTTACAATTTTCTGTGAAAATTTTGAAATGAGGGTTGCCACTGCTATGCCAAATTTCAACCTGTTACGATGCGAAATAGCTAAGGTGTTAAACCCCAAACATAAGGCTTTATAAATGCTTGCTAAAAATAATAGGCAATAAAACGGCACATTAAGATACTGCAGTAAAATTTCTTATTAAGGAGTTGTTACTCTGCATGCAGGAGGAGTATTTTGAAATGCAGTCACCATTTTGACTATTCCTGCTTCAAAAACAAAGATACAAAGATCTAAATTGAATTGGGATTCTAAACCATCATCTTTGCAAAATGTATAAAGTGACGCTCTGAAAGGCCCTATATGATGTGCTCATGTTTAAAAACACCTTAAACTTGTTAGTAACTGGACTCTACAGTTACATCCTTCTCAGTGCAGAGAAAAACCATTTTGTGAAGCGTGTTAAAAATCCGTGCGTCTGGGGAGAAAAGGCTCTAATTTTGCAAACGTTCCGCTATAAACCTTTGAGAATAATGTTCTACTGGTCACTGCCTTTTACATGTAAACGCATCCAGACTGAGCACTTGCCTTGTTTTAACACAGCACCAATCCAAACGGTTATCCGAGCGATGACCGGCTGGCGGTGTGTGCCCGGATGGCATCCTGCTGCCTGTCCCCGGTCCCCGCAGCATCCCACGGCTGCTCGGCAGCGGTGCTCCTGGAGCACCTCCGCAGCTAACACCTCCCCATCGGCAGCAAAAGCCAACATTAAATCCATTGCAAGAATGCCAAAAAGGAGAGTAAATTAGTGCCGGATCAGCTGTTGCTGTTTCTGTGAGGTGTGCATGTCCTTACAAACCCACTACTATAATAAATTTTAAAATAGCTAACGCATTATTCTATTTTATCCTTCAGATAAAACCCGTGTCCTCATGGTTTGACAGCACTGAGACTTTCCCAGCAAATTCTGCAGCTTTCCAGTCTATGCACAGAAGTCGTTTTCAAATGTGACACACAAAATTTGAAGCAAACTGTCACTAGCTCAATTTCATGAAACTAGTAGGCATGTAATGAAATATAGCTGAAAGGCTTTCAGATTCCTTGTTTTTACCCCAAAATGCTCTCTTATTTTACAAATTAATGAACAAAGATTTGCTGGGTTGGAAAATGACTCCAGAAAGGAGCAGTATCCTCTCATTTAGTCACAGTCTCTTTAAGCATATTTACACCAGGGAACAATCCCTTCAATAAGTATTTTTATTGAGCTCATTTTCCTCCTTCATATCTCTCTGTGTTAGACTGAAGCGCTGGTTGTTCATAACTTGAGCCAGATCGTTTGTAGTTGCATTAATGATGCAAGAGTGCAGGATATAATGATCACGATGTATGTGCACTGTAAACATCAAAGAAGATGCAGTTAAAGAACATACAAAAAAATACAAAAAAATTCCTTTGACCTTTGCATCGAAGTTCCAGATGATCATGCTACTTGTTTATAATTTACAGCCTGAAGCAACATGGGTCTCATTTCCCTTCTTGGCAAGAAAAAAACCCAACCAAAGAACAAAAAAAGGAGGCAAAAAAACTCTTGAGTAGCGATGCAGAAAGCAAGGAAATACTATTAATGTGGCCTCACTTTTACAATTGAGGGCAATGCACTGGAAGCATCCTGTTGTTATATTGTGTGAGAAATCATTTTACATCCGTGAGAAAGCATGTTGACAAGCTACAGCAGAAATGCAGTGTGCAATTAGTAATACTTTATATCACATTTGCCCGCTTCACTGGGCATGGAACAGTTTGTCTTCCCTCCGTTATCAGGTCACAGTGCTACCTAGAAATTTCATATTCATTCCTTAGACTACATCTACACCAGGAGCATATACCAGCACAGCATGCTATGTGTCTGAAGCCGTGAGTTAAGTTCAGTCGTAAACAGGCAGTTTTGGGGTGGACTGTGTCCACAAAGCGGCTGAGGTAGCTGCTGGGTGGCAGCTAAGCTCTTCATTCACGCTCCACCTTACTTTCACAAAAACTTCCAGGTTTGCTTGAGATGTCATGATACTGTTCTAGCCGTGCGTAAGAATCGGCTTTGAGAAGTTAATGAGAAGTTCCCTGCTCCCCAAGTTCATTGCACAGAACCCAGTATTATGCTATGTCTGCAAACGCCACCTCGTGCCGGAGAAGGAATGAAATGGAGCACATCCGTTCCCCGTGCCTACGTCTCACAACACCGTTACGACCTAAAACAGACAACCAAGAGGCACAGTATGGTTTGACACAGGCTTAGAGAACAGAGGTTAACTGTCTCCAATATTACTCCATTAGCAGGAAGCGTGTTAAATAAACAACCCGTTAAGTCTTAGGAATCAGGCTTCAAAAGAATACAGAAAGCCTGGAGGCTGGAGCCAGCCTGAAGCTGGGAACAAACTACTGACCTCAGTCACAGCGATTTGACCATCACCCTGCTGCCCAGGAGAATGTGGTGGTACCACACTCTGATGCCACATTCAGAATCCAGCTCTGCCCAGCTTTCAACGTTTCAAAAGGCAGGTTAAAAAAAATAATGGTACAGCCAGCTCCTAAAGACAAAAAGTATTCCTTAGCATGCCTTACATCCATATATGAATTTCCACC